GAACTCTATTATATACAAATTGTTTAAATAAATTAGTTTTAGGTGTTTTAATCCAACCCAAAACGATAGTGGAGTCGCACCAACAAACTATTTTTTGAATATCTAATCGTAATGAGGAGTTAACTTTATCAACAAGACGGGCCGCTAATAGGGTACCGCATAACTCTAAACGGGGCACTGTCATCTGCTTAAGGGGTGCTACACGGCTTTTTGCAGTAATTAATTGAAGAAACTTTATTGTTATTGACAGCACGAAGATAAATGCAGGCGCTATACGCTTGCGTTGGTGCATCGCTAAATACATGCATTTCACAAAATAAAGGATGGTTGCAAACAATGTGTCTAGGTATTTTAATATTTTTTATATATAGTAACGATTGTAGAAAATTATGCCAGGCTTCACGCAATTCACTAGGAATATCTTCATCCCAATTTATTTAAGATGACCATAATTTTTGTAGAATTATTAAAGAATTATTATTAATAAGAATTATTAATAAGTCCTAATGGATTGAATAATTGAGCTAAATTTGACAATATTGTGCGTTTCGTAATTCGTTCATGATGTGTAAAATCAACTGAAAATAATAGAATATCTTTTTTACTATCCCATAATAAACCCAATGTTTTCGAATAATTAAGATTGCTTAAATTGAATAATTCGTCACCTCTGCTCTCGCCTATAAGTTTATGAATTATTTCAGGATTATTAGAATGCTATTTTCTTAAATTAAATTGACCGCTTTTAAGTTGATTTATGACACCCTTACAAATGTGTATCAGTTGATTAGCATTGTCATGACCACTGATGTAGTCATCGCCATAAAAACCATTAATAATGCAAGTAGCTACTGACTCATCATTGCATTAAGGCGCAGAAGCGGTGCCATATGTGACAGTGTTCAATTTGTATTGTTTCATTTGTTCATCAGGCTGAGAACGCCATACTATTTGTTGTAGAGGGCGCTGTTTTTCAGCCACCCTTATCATGCGATACATTTTTTCGACGTCCGCTGTGATCACACATTTGTGTTGTCGAAATCGAATTAATATACTTATGAGATCGTTTTGGACTGTAGGATCAACTCTCTGAATATTATTAAAAGATTTACCAGACGTAGTCACAGCAGACGCGTCAAAAACAACTCTTAACTTGGTCGTTAAGCTTGTTTCACGCACTACACCATGATGTGGCATAATGTATGTATAATCATCTTTCTCTAATGTTATGTTTTCAGTCATATGACCTAAAATGATGTATTCGTTAATGAATTGTGTGTAATATTGTTTGAATAACGGGTCGCGTTTAAATCTACGCTCTAGTGAAATAAATCTAGATAATGCTTGTTCGTATGAATCACCGAGCTGTTGCGGCGATTCCTTTAACGGAATCGTTACAACGAAATGACCATCATTTTCACGAGTTGTTGTTTTTATAAAGTTATCTTCACATTCTTCTTCTTCCTTTGATAATGATTTGTTCATTGTTACAGTTTCAAGCTCAAAAAATCGTATTAATTGCTCTCGAACATGATCATCATAATGTATGTTAGCATGATTGCAATGGACTGTATTTGATTTGTATAATGTATGTATGGGTCCGGATACGATCCATCCGAGTATAGTCTTACTTATTGTAGGTTTGTTTTTACCCATTGAGATATTATTAGAGCACAATAAACTCCAAAATAGATCTGCCCCTAGTAGCATATCCACTGTAGAAGGCTTGTTAAAGGAAGGGTCTGCTAATGTTATATTTGGTGGTATATTTTATAATGAATTATCAATACGAGTGTTTGGGAGTAATTGAGTAATGCGTGGCACAACAAGACAGTTAATCTGTTTTACGTATGAAGTGCTGCGTGAGGATATAACGATATTACATCGTTTGGATATATATGACGATTGACCATTCAATCCGTCAACTGATGTGAAATGTGAATAGTTGGCAATTTAAGTTTTGCACATAAACTATCAGTAATAAAGCTAGAAGTGCTACCACTGTCCAATAATGCACGGACTGTATGTTGGTGACCATTGAAGTCATTAACTTTAATGATTGCTGTTGATAGCAATACGGTTTGAGACTGATGAATAGATGATAATGTAATGTCATCTTTTTGTTTGGATTGAATGTCAGGTTGTACACTGTAAAGAACAACATTGCTTGCATTAATAGGTGATGTGGTAGCAATGGATGTATCTGTAGTACTCGGCTGTACAGAATCAGATATTTTGGATGGGTTATTAAAGTGTAATAATGTGTTGTGTGGCTTATGACATAATCGACAAAAGCCTAGTCTGCAAGTATTTGCATTATGACCTTGACGTAAGCAATTAAGGCATAATTTAAGTGCCTTTGCCTTTTGAATGTGAGTTTGAATTGGTAAAGATTTGAACTTAGTACACTGATAAATAGCATGGTTATTCTTGCAGAGAGGGCAATTATGTATTTTTGGTGAAGAGTATGAAATTACAGTGAAAACCCTTGGGCACAAATGTGTAATGTCACTGTGTCTACGTCGTGAGTTATTATAAGTATCTTCCATAGTTTCTAATAAATCAGCTCGATTATTTATAAATTTATTAAACTCATTGAGGGTAGGTAGCTGACTTAATGCATTTCAAAATGTTTCCCATTCGCGGCTCGTTACACTGACAAATTTAGTAGAAGCCATGTAAATGATTAACAAATCCCAGCTATCCACAGGTACTTCTAATGTTTTTAAAGCTTGCAAATTACGATTAATGCTGTCCATTGTATTGCGTAACGATTTGGACGACTTTTTAGTCATAGGTTGAATATTAAAAATTGCTTGGATATGATTATTAACTAGAAGGCGCTTATTATCGTAACGATCACTTAAGAGTGACCATGCTATATCATAGTTTTCTGTAGAAATTTCAAGGCAACTTATTATTAATGAAGCGCTGTCTCTTAAGGCTGAGCGTAAGTAATGAAATTTGCTTATTTTGGGAATTGTGACATCTGAATGAATGAGTGAAGAGTATGTGTCTCTAAATTCTAGCCAGTCATGATAATTACCCGAAAAGGTAGGTAGATGTATAATAGGAAGCTTAATGTTTGGCCCACCTTTTGGTGCAGAAACAATACCAGAACCCGCAGCCGATCCGAAGTCCGCTGCAATCTCCTGCCTAGCAGACAGCTCTCGAGCCTCAGCAATCGCAGAGAAGTACTGGTTTTCGAAGCTCTCGCGCTCAGTATAGTACTTGTCTGGAATTTCGCATGAATTTTCTATGTCAGTTTGCGTGCAATCAAATTCAGAATAAAGTTCTTCAATTTTTGATAACCTAATATTTAATTTATTAACCCGCAAGATATTCAAGTTGTTACAATATTTAATGTTTTGTAAATATTTTTGAAATTGAGATAATTTAGCTTTATTATAACTGCCACGTTTTTTGACAAGTGATTTAAAATCCATTATAACAAGCCAAATTTCTTACCAGCCGATAATTCACTGAAATAAATCTCTTTTAAATGAATATGAAATTAAATTTGGTGCAAATAAAATAAATGTGGGTACTTAAATTTTAAATAGGTGAGGGTGCACGCAAGCAGGTTGAAGCAGCGATAGCAGCACGCAGCGCTAGGGCAAGATACGCTAGCTAGCAGTAGTTGTCACTAAAATGAGAAAAAACTATTACTTATTCAGCAATGACAGCTTATACACAGCCTTTGAAGCGCTCATAAAGTTTGTATATGCTTTAATAAACTGAAAATGACAATTTATACTTGTATGTGAAATAATTGGATAGATATATAGGTAATAATGATAATGGTTACCTAATGTTACTGTATTATTTACTAATGTTGCAAATAAATTAGAATAAAGCACTGAATTAACGCATATATAATGAAAAACTGCAAATTGATTTGCGCGCGACGTTAGATATTAAAATAAAGTGATAGACTTATGTTCCAAATAAATTAGAATAAAGCACTGAATTAACGCATTTATAATGTAAAACTGCAAATTGATTTGTGCGCGACGACGTTAGACATTAAAATAAAGTGACGTTAGAATTTAGAATCAAAAATGACTCTGTCAGTAATTTAATGGAATTTATGTTATATAGGAACGTAGTAGGAATTGGAAAAAAATGGAACGAACTTACAGCTACCGCCAATTTGCCCACAATAATCTGGTTCGAACTGATCAGCTTGTAGATTAAAAAAGTGTGCTGGTTGCTATAAGATGTGTACTCGATGTAATTGAAGATACAGATACAGAATGTAACGGAGACTATGTTATTATATTGATGCGTGCTAACGTTGTGCGCGCCGCTGGCCGAGTGGCCGACGCCTTATGAACGTTCGCGATGACGATGTGTTCAAACCGCCGTGTGATGGGACACACTAGTAGGCGTCAACAAATGGTAAGTGCCAACACCAAAGCAAATTCGCCATGTTGTTACCAATTAGGGTTCCACAATTAGGGTTCTACAATTATTACTGTCTCATGAGGGGGCTTACGCTGGAAATCGTAGATTCTGTTATGATAAATATTTAGTAACAAAAGTGTAGTCGAAAAAAAAATCCATTTCCGACATATAGTTTCTTTGGGAAAGTTGCTTAAAATGATGGTCTGAGTTCATGGTTAAAGAGATCAGGATTAATAATGTAAGACCTTATACATATAAGCGGCGTTTCGGCACTTCGCTCCCGTTGGTACCTACTCGTGTTCGGCGCTCCCCCCGCACGTCTCTTCAGGCCCCGACTAGACTCGCACAAGTCACGCTAAAACAACCGAGCGAACAGTTCGAATGAATCAGTTGTACAAGGAGAACGTAATCTCGCGCTTAGTTGAAATTTATTGTTATTAGATCTTTAATGTATATGTATGTAATATTTAAATTTCTCACCGGTTTTAAGTTTGGAAACATATTTTAGTAATATTAAACAATTTTAAGTCAAAACGTAGTGAGTCCTTTAGAGACTAACACTATATTTACTTGTAGATTTATGAAAAAACACGATGCCATTCAAAGTGATGCAAACCATGGAACGAGGTTGTCTGCGATTGACGACTGTCCCAGAGCAGTGGGAAAAAAATTGTATTTTGTTGTGGCCCAAAACTAACGCGGAAAAACTTAGAAGGCGCGAGAATTGTTATCCAGATCCTACTTGGACAGCTTTTAATTGTATCTTGAAAAGAAACCATTTAAGATCATTTAAAGACGCAGAAAATCAAATAGATGCAATGAGCAATAGGTCCGATACCGAGACGGAGAATGAGTATCGAAACAAATCGCTATCTGCAACTACTCAAAGGGAACCGTTGTCTCAGTCTTTTAATAAAATGGCGCAGGAGTTGGTAGAGGTAAGTTTTACAGTTTATTTAGATATTAGATTCCGTATCATAGCTTCGCCCACACACAAAAGAAGCAACTTTCCAGCTCAAAAAAAAAATTGTTGTTCCATACTCATCGGTCCTGTAGGTATTGAAAATTACTATGGATCAGCTGTTTTTTTTAGAGCTAAAAATTTGCTCCAAAAGAAACATTTCTTTAGTGTAATGATTTTTTCCAACTTGTTTAAGTTATTTTAGATATGCGATAGTAATGCACATAATATTGTAATTTTTGAAGTCGGTGCCAGCCTATTCGTTGCATCTATCAGTTAAATATACACTAATATATTTTTTATTAAGTTTTATAACAGTATATTTACATATTGTTATAGTAGTATATTTACAAGCTTGGCATTGCATAATAACATATATTCAATTCCACAAAATTAATATTCTGTGCTAGAATGTCATTTGAAATCGGTAGTTTTTGTACTTAGTTTTTAATATCGTACTAATTACATTTTTAGTTTACGACGAAAAAGCGGGGTACCTAATAAGTTTAACGTGTAGATATGTCGATCTATGGCTGGCTTCGTAGCTCCCAAACGGACGGACCGATTTTAATTTAGTATTTTTGTTTTGTCAATATTCAACTTCTCACCAATTTAAACCTTATAATGTCGTGTTTGTCATAATGAAAGGAATGTGCATATTTGTGATGACCAGAGGTCGGAATTAGGTAGAGTTATTTATGTACTTGCATTGAAATGTTAATATTAATGTGGACCTTCGTGGCAACATCGCGCGTATTGGTATTTTGCAACTTTGGACATCCGATGTCATGTTGTAAATATAGCAACGTCGTGCGTGCAGTAGTTTAAATTATGTAAAAGTAAATAACTGTTTATTTAAAAAATCACGGGATTTTTTCTGCTCTTTAAAACTAATCTCGGGATTTGAGGCATATCCACTTTATTCTTTCGCTGTATGAAATCAGTGTAAGTACATGAATAACTCTACCTAATTCCGACCACTGGTGATGACGTGCACCTGATTTATTGTATTTTGGGTTTCTGAAATTTTTAATATAGTGTTATATTTTACAGAATGATCAAGAAAATATTGCTGCTGCTGCTATGCTAGAAAAAGAAAACATGCCACCGGGCGAAAATTATGATGCTGCCGTTAATATTGTTCGAAGTCAGGAACCAAACTCTTTACCGGAAGCAATTGACCTAGGCTCTGAAAACGCAGACAAAGTCAAAGCATTTTGATATTAAATCAAGATGTACCACTACAGCAAATTCAAGAGGATATACAGGCTATTAAACATGATCTCAAAACAATTCTTACTAATCAACATGCTTTGTTTAAACTTCAAAACAAATTACTATTAAAACATTCAGAATTTTAGGCCCAATTCGAGGAATACATAAAATTGTCTTCTAAAGTACCAGCTCAGGATCGGGATGATGTTATAAATACCATTAAAAGTTCAAATGATTTTGATGACTTTGAAAGAAACCTGTTAGATAGATTATTTAAAGAAAAACATTTAAAAAAATTACTGGGTTATGTAGCAGAGCATCTGGAAAGGGTACTTCAAATGCATACTATCTCATTGATCATTTATTTGACAGAGAGTTTTTGAAAAGTTGTACATGGACTGGATTATCAAAGAAAAACCCCGTAAAGATTTATTTCAAAGCTCGACAAAGAACAATTAATTTTTTCCATGATATTGTAAAAGAATCAGACGAAACGTTCAGCAAAGCAGATTGCGAAAAAATTTTTAAAATCGTACTCAAAAATGCTCATCAGCGCTATAAGAGCAATATGAGAGCATCTTCTGCAAGACAACGAATTAAGGGAAAAAAAACTAAAAAAGATACTGCTGCATCATCTTCTGTGCGCGTTATAGAACAATTAGCTCACGAAGATAATGTTCGTCCTCCACCCGAACCTTTTCTAAATCAAATTTAAATCAGTTACGTCATAAAGTTATAAACGTCGATATCGCCTAAAACGGCCACTTCGAGCGGTTACGACATTTATAACTTTGGGACGTAACTGATTCAAATTGTTGTAGTTCGTAAATAAGCTGAAGATTATCTCGAGGACCATAAGCTTAGATTTTCAATTTTGTTTGAAAAGGCTAAAATTTTTTTTTTTTGTGGTGGCGGCGCTAGTTTTGCCTACGTAGCAGCCAAAAAAAAATATTACTAACTATTAAGAGTCGCTGTGCCCATGAAACTGAAAAAGCTCTCCAGCTCGAAAAAAAATCAGTTATTCTACATAAAAGTTTGGTCGTGTATGTAGATATTGACGATAAGTACATATGGGACAGTTGATTTTATTTTTCGAGCTAGAAACTTGAGAAATATAATGTCAACAGCTCCTGAAAGATCATGCATTGATTTTATTTGCAATTTGGATAAAATATCTTTGTAGAACACTGGCGTGTACGGTTGTCGAATCGTTACAGCTGATTTAATTTTATTTAAAATTTTATTTAAATTAAATATTTCGCGATATTTATTAATATATTAGTTTCGTGAAAGTGAAAACAAAGCCTTAAGCGTTGATAATTGATCTTACTGTGTAAAAATAATCACTTACATTCAAATAATCGTGCCAGACAAATATGTATCTGTCGGATAAGGTAAAGACGAAAAACAAACAAAAATCTATCAAGAAAAGATATAATTGTGGACTGCTGCATCACAAACCGGGGAAGTACTTTTGTTCCATAACTTAGTAAAAAAATATACTACTGATACTTCATTATATTTCCTTGTATGAGTTTTATGTGTGGCATTTGGGTTTCTCGATACCTTAATTTTCAAATCATTACTCTTATCACAACTCACGAATAGTGAGTAACGTCACAAAACATAACAATTTGGTACTGTTAACCTCTCTTTACTTGACATAAAGTGGAAGTAAAGTTGATGGTGACCGAGTTGCTCTTGTACAAATAAACAATAACATTAACACAGCTGAGAAACTTATTTTCTGCATTAATTGTTTCATATATAAAATTTAATGTCCATTAGGTATATTATTATTGCATTAACTTTTAATAAAAATTAATTGATAAAGAAATACTTATTGTCTATGATTCAGATTAATAAATGAACTAAGATTATATTATGTTACATCTCTTTGACTCTAGTGTATGAACAAGACACTGCTGTAGATGTTAATATTGTAGAAATAAATGTAGCTTAAATTGTAAATGAAAAAGTAATTGTATGGGAGGGGGATGCACATTATATTAAATTATTGATGGGGTATTTTATCATTATAATTGGTGATTGGTTATAAAGTGATACCTTTTATTAAAATTAGAAATATATTAAAATTAGAAAAGTTATCCAGAAAACTGAGAGATTGATAAAGAAGAATAATTGTTTTTATAAAAATATTGCCTTGAGGAAATAACGCAGTAGTCTAATGGATTCTTTGGAAATATATAGCGATAAATTATGTGAAAGTCGGCAGATGTATGACCGTGATACAAAAAATTGCAATTTGAAATAAAAAAATTACATGAATCAATAGAATTAATACAAAATAAATATTTAGTTGCACAGTCTCAGATTGATGAGCATATTAGGTCTGCCACAGAGTTGGTTGACCTATGCAATTACAATGCTGACCGTTACCATTCACTGTTAAATAATAAACAATTAATTAACAAAACAAATAACAGCTTTAGTAACAATAACAATAATAATATTCAGAAACAATTTATAAATACAGTTACACAGAAACCCTGTCAGTCATCTGCCCACCAGTCACAACTGTTTACTCAGGTACCTGTTCAGTCATCTGTTACTGATGACTGCTCTCCATCACAATTTTCCCAACGTCATTCAATAAATTCACATAATTATAAAAATAATATTTTAATGTTCAGTGATGAAATTGGCAGAAACATGGGCCGTCTGCTATTCGATAAGGGCCATTCAACATTAAACTTCTGTATGCCTAATTCCTCTTTTAGTGATATTTTGGAAAAAGCAATTAAACAAAACTACAGGAAAATACCACTTTATTGTTTTTTATTGGCAATAGAGGTACTTTGAACAAACATAAATTATTGAAATATATAAACGAATTAAATTCATTAAGTGTTGGGAAAGTCGTGATTTTTACGTTGCCGTATTGCAATAGTTTGTCCAGTGAAGAAAATAATTTGCGATACAAACTGAATATGACATTGCACACTATATGCAATACTGCAAAGTTTCATGTCATTGACACTAACAAGTATGTTAGAAAATTTTATTTGACTAAAGATAAATATTATCTTTCCAATTATTATAAGAGACAAATAGCTATTTCGCTATCATATTTTTTTTCTATAACAGCCAAAAATTTGGCTAACCAGAGTGCTCCTATTGAGCACTCTTCTATTGACATGACTGTCAGTAATAATCCTACTGACATTGCGACAAATTCGTCTTTAAATTAGATACTAAGACAACAGAGGATTCCTCTTGCTTGCTATTGAATAGTCAAAGTAATAATGGAACCAAGAATTTATCAGTCATCAACCTAGTGCACCAAAATGTTCAAGGAATGTTGAGTAAAGAGTTAGAAGTAGAATTATTCATGAACTGTAACAATATTGATATTTTCTGTATTACGGAACATTGGTTAACAAGTTATAATTGCATTTTTAACTTCAATAATCACCTGGTTGGTAGCGCGTTCATTAGGAAAAACGCAATGCGTGGTGGCGCACTAATTTTATTAAATAAAAAGTTTAAATTTAAAGAACGTAGAGATATAGTGAGCCTATCGGTTGAGGAAATAATAGAGATTGCCTGTATAGAGCTGGACCAGCTGATTGTACTGAGCGTATATAGACCTCCTTCAAGTTTAGTTTCTCATTATGATCTTTTTGAAACAGTTATGGATGAAGCATTAAAAAAGGTATATAGCAAAGGCAAACGATTAGTGATTGGGGGTGATTTTAACGTTGATTTATTAGGAAACTCCAATTCATGTACAAGACTTGTAAATCTATTTATGTCCTATAATCTTGCGCACATGTTTAAGGAGCCTACTAGAGTAACTGCTACTTCGTCCACATGTATTGACAACATTTTTACAGATCTGGTACCACTTTCAAAACAGATAATTAACAACTACCGTCAGATCATTTTGGACAACTAGTTAGCTTTCCGCATAAATGTACGTTTGTGGCTAGGAGAGACATTACAGTTGTGTCAAAAAGTATGAGTCGCTTGGAACGTTTTAAAAATCAATTAGATAGTAAATTGTATCATTTGAAACATAATAGTAATCCCAATGATTTGTACAAAGATTTCTTTGATGTTTATTGTACAGAATTCAATAAGATTTTTGTCCCAAAAAAAATTAGTATTAGTAATCCTATAACTTTTAGTGTGTGGGCTACACCAGGAATCTACAAAAGCAGAAAAAGGCTCTATGAACTATATGATGAACGTAATTATAACACAAGTGAGGACTTCAAAGAATATGTACGAAATTACTCTAAATTATTTAAAAAAGTGTGTCGTTTAGCCAAATGTAATTATTTAAATGCAAAAATTGAAAATAGTAAAGACAAAGTTAAAATGACGTGGAATATCATAAATAGTGAAACTGGAAGAGAAAAATCCCGGAATATAAATTTTAATTTAAATATTGATAATAAAAAGGTAACATCAGATCTTGAAGTTGCTACAGTATTTGAAAATTTATTTACTGAAATTCCAGTCTTAATTACACAATCTTTGAATTCCTCTTCCACTGTTGCTGAATCCATTTTAAAGGCAAGTTTAAATAATTCTAATAGCCAATTTAATTTTCAACACATTGATTTTAAAGATATAACAAAATCTTTTAATCAGCTAAAGAAAACGAAAACTGCTGACTTATGGGGTAATTCCATTGAAGTTTCTAAATCGGTAATTGAGACAATAGCTCCAATATTAGCTTATATATTTAATGAATGTACTGATTGTGGTATTTTTCCTGAGCTCATGAAATATAGTAAAATAATTCCTTTACATAAATCGGGTAGCACATCTGACCCTACTAACTTTAGACCTATATCCGTGCTACCTACGTTTAGTAAGATTTTTGAAAAAATCATGCTGGATCAAATACAAACGTACTTTTACAAGAATAAGCTTATGAATCGACAACAATTTGGTTTTACAAGGGGTCGCTCGACAACCGAAGCCGGTGTCGAGTTAATACAAGAAATTTTTAATGCCTGGGAGGATTCACATGA